AGACTAATAGATTTTTGATGAAAGAATCTGATCCCATGTCTATTATCTCATTATGAATTTGCTAATCAATGAATTTATAACTGAAACTATAAATTACAGATCTTATTTGAACATTTATGAGATTTATTAATTAAAAATAATTAAGTTTCTTAAATTCTAAATAATTTTATTGACCATTAAATTCTAAAATTTTGATTTAAATTATATTGTTAAATTTGATTTGTAACTTTTTTGATTGGAATATATTTAAATTGGAGGGTGAAATATAATGATATAATATGTCAAAGAAAATATAAATATCTCTAAATTAATAAGGAGTTTTAAGTTAAAAACATCGGTTCATTATTCTTAGTATCTTCATAATAATAAAAAATATCCCATTTGCCTACTTCTACATCATTATGGTATTCGTTTTGTATGTTTATATATATTTAGAAGAAGCTAATAATTATTTTGACCATACTATAATAGATTGATCAAGTGTCCTCATAATGCTAATTATTTAAGAAATCCCATACTTAATATATAAACCTTTGTTAGAACCTTTGCTGATGCTAATAACAAATTATTTTATTTATTAATGTTAATGAAATTACAATAATGAGATAAATATAATAATAATATCTGTCTTTTAAGTATATATATTAGGTTATCTTTCTGTTTCCAAATCATCAATAGTTATTAATGAATGAGTATAGTCATGAAAGAAATAGAAAAAACTGATTTTACATACTTGTTATCAATTATATATATAAATATTAATATGGTTTTTTTTCCTCATAATTCTAACTAAAGATTTTTATTCTATTTTATAAATTCCATTTTTATTGAATGAATACTTTTTAAGAAAAACATTCTTAAAATTTATAAATTCTTTGAATACCTACTAAATTAGTTATCTTCCTTAATTTATAACAATAATGTAGAGAATATTAAAATTTATAATTCATAAAGTGAGAACTTTTGTACATTATAAGATATTTTACGACATATTTATTTTACTAAAAGTATTCTTTTGTTTTAATATAATAATTCAATAATAAAATATATTTATCCAGACAATTAATGATATTTGATTTATTAATCAATTTCTTATTATAACAAATTCATCCAAATGAAATCTAAAATTAAATAATTATGAGAAGTTTGTAATTAAATAATGAAAATTATTTACAAATTTATACTATTTATTTAATTCTTTGCATAAGCATAGGAAGAATGGGTAACTATTTTTCATGAATTTACAGGTTCAAATTGGGATTATTCAGGTTATTTATCATATTTAAATTAGGTTGGTTTTTCTATAATGTATATGGAGGCCCAATCACCCAATGTGGTGATACATAGATATTTGGAGGATATGGAGTTTTCGGAAATTAAACCTTAATTTCTTCAAAATTTACACTTCCACCTCATTATTCACTAAGAATATCATTTGATTTATGGAAGTATTATATTTATTGATATTTAGGGTTGATAGTTGGGATGGTGAAATTGTAAAAATAGTATTTGATAGTGAAATTAATTAAAGATCATTTATCTTAGAAGATGGACAATAAATTTGTGGACATATTCATGAAATTTTTTTAGAATATAATATCCCATTTAGTATCACGATACCAAAACACAATTCCTAAACTTTAGTTGTCATAATGACTTCAACTTTGGATTAGAGTCATCTAGATGTATAAAAATTATATAATTTTAGGAATCATGGGGATTTAAAGATTTAAAAATAGAGATATTATAATGTCCTAAAGATTGTGTATTTTGTAGAGATAAAACATCATGCTACTTTTGGATAAATGTTGAATCATATTGGAATAGCTAAATTAATTCTGAAGGATGGATGATTAACGGAAATATACCACTTACTTCAAGTGAATGCAATTTAATGTAGATTGCAGGTGGAATAGGTATTCTACAAAAAGGATAAAGAATAGAGAAAATCATAGATCTTTTATCTCCTCATTTTAGGGTTTAGATATCATTCAAGTTGTGGACTATAGGTGAATGGTCAAATGAATTATTTAAATTGGAGATTGATGATGAAGAGAAATATTCAATCCTAATTACTTCTGACAATTTTATTTACAGTTAATGTTAAGCACAAAAAGTTAGGATCACTAATATAGATATAAGCTCATTACATAAATCTACTTAAATAAAATTATTAATGAAAACAGAAAAATATATAAATGATGTAGCAGATTGGGGACTTTCATAATTTGATTTGTTTGTAGCTATATGTTCATATAATTGTAAAGAATGCTATGGAGAATTAAAATCATAATGCAGTATTTGCAGAGATGGATGGATAATGGTAGATATTGGATGCATTGGTATATATTTTATATAATAAATAAGCTCCACCTTTAGAATGCTCTTAAATTAGAATTACTTAATATTACAATAAATAAGTAGATCTCATGACTTCATTTCAAATAAGAAGCGATGAAATAGCTCAAAATATCTCAGAGATTGGATAAAAAACAGTAATTCTCAATAAATAAATAACCTCTATAAATTTTTAAATTTAAGTTAAATGCTTAGAAAAATAGATAGTTAAAAGCTTTTTCAGAAGTTGCTATACATGTGATTAGGAATAATATAAATTTTCAAATAAATGTCAAAATAATTTAATAATTTATCATCCAACATTTCTTCAAGAGTAAATAGATGAAAAAGAATTAATAATAACTATCTCTTAATAATAATTGCAAATTGTTTAAGTAGCAACAATTGAAGAAACTAAAAGATAATTTTTAATTCTAGAAATTGAAATATGAATCATGGGATTATTCATTGAAAAGTTTATAAATTACATAGTTGATTCTAATACAATAATAATTATTTATTTTTGCATTATCTTTAGTGTTTCCCAGAAATAGGCATGAATCCTATATTCATTATACAAATATCCCCCTATTTCTTACTTAAGAAAAATCTAGACGATCTTTATTTTTAAAGACTCCATACCACAAAAAGCAAGGAAGTGTGCAACCAAATGTAATTAATAATGGTAAGCAAAATGTGATAATCAATTTAGCATGTTAAATTGTATCATATCTATAGGCCAAATTCCCTTAAATTCAAAATTCATCTGAAATCTTTCTATAAGAGAATAGTGAAATTATTCTTCCTATTAAATTTCCCTATAAAAATATGAATAAATATATCAATGATGTAAATATAAAGAAAAATTAAATTGTGTTTGTTTAGTAATTATTGCAATTGCTACAATAGTAAAAATAACTATTATATATGAAGAAGTCATAATTAAGTTCCAATTTAAAAGAAAGTATATTATCAATATATCTTTGATATTAAATAAGAAGCAATCTAAAAAATAAGCAAGTAATTCAATAGGATTACCAACAACTGAAGCTAATCCTGCTGGTACTTGTAATTAAAAGGTAGAAATAGTTGAAATGATTTGAAGATAATTTGTGAATACTTTGATAAGGATAGGAGTTTGAGCTTTATTATTGCTATTCAAACTCCAAAAGCTTTCAAGTTTATACATTTAACAAATTCCTCAATCATTTTTATAGGGCTACTTACTGAGATGAAAGTTGAAATCAAAGTCCAACTACTCACAAATATTATTTTAATAACATTATAATCTATTAGATCACAACTTCCACATGAATAAGCTGAACTTACAGAATAAGATTTGCTTCCTCTTGAATTATATAAATCACACTCCTCTCATAAGCTCCAATATGTCCTATCATACATGATTCATCTCGAGGTTTCCAACCACCATTGCTATTCTCCACCAAATGATAAAATGTGTTGCCCAAGATACTTAATATAAATTTTAAAATGTATATCAAAGAACACATTTACCAGAAGTTTAATTTAAGAATTCACCTAATTGACAAGGAAATGTTTTTATGTCCACCTAAAATTAATAATTTGCGACATAATTATAAATTAAAAAAAGTGGACTCTCTTCATATAAAGGGACTGAAACACTATTACATTAAATTTACAATCAAAGAACTAAATCTTGATTATAAGTAGGATTGAAGTAAATAATTAGATTATCTAAATTATAATCACCAGTAGTTTCATTAAATACATCATATTAATCTTTTTAAGAACTTAAATTATTAGCTTTTGGATATCAAATACAATAAGAATCTTACAACCCCATAATTTATTCATAAGACTTATCCAAAGCAATAATCCTAAATGTAGGATTATAAGGAATAAATTCTGATTTGATTGGATCAAAATACCTATAATTGTCTATTGTTATACCAGAAGGCAATATTAATTAATAATTTTTCTAAGAGGAACCTAATATCTTATATGGATTAAGAATAATTTGTTTAATAATCTCTTTATCAGGAATTCTTATTTATTTCTTCTAATGTTTAATCTCCATTAATAGATAATATTAATGTTATTGGTTTTTCTAATACATTAGATCCATATAATTTTGAATTATTAGAATCAAATTATAAATCTAATTATTTAGTTAATTACAGTGGTTAAAAACCTAAATATATACTTCTTGAAATCTCTGATTTATTTTCAATTATTTTTGAATCGAAAATATATTATGATTCTTTCTCTGATGAATAGTAAACTGCACCTCTAATATCTGCAAAATTATTTTTTATAATGCAATATTTAATTATACTATTTATGTTAATTATCAAAAGTGAGACACCATATGATACAGATTTATATATAAATTAACTTTTTTCTATAATAATTTATTACTTGATGCTATTAAAAAGATTTTCGTAATTATGCTATTGCAACATTCTATAATTTAATTCAGGATTTAAAATATTAAATCATTTTTATTTTTAGCAACTGAAAGACAACCAGTTCTTCCATAGAGACTATTTTAATTGAAATTTACGAAAGTTTAATATTTTCTTCATCTTATTAGATTTCAACAATTCGAACCAAACCAAATTAGCATTTAGTACATTGAACATTTTAAATTTTCATTTTCTTCCAAAATTAATTTGGTCTATTTCAATTAAACTAAAAGTAAATGATGGTTTTTGAAAATCTTAACCTAATTACAAATTAATTGATTTAAATTTTATTTATTATCAATATATTCTATAATTTAAGTATTATATTAGTTAGATTGAGAGGAAAATCTAAATAAAAAATTCATCCTGTTTTCATTAATAAACACTCTCTTTTTTCATTCTTTATAAATTGATTCACTTAAGTTATTTAAAGATCAAATATTTATATATTTCCAGCATTTTATAAAAAATAATATTTATTATTTTTTATCTTACATTTAATTAAATTAGAGGTGAAAATCCTGATTATTAATCGAAAAGCAATCCTTAACAATCAACTTCTCAAATTCAATAATATTATAAATTTCAGATGGATTTACATATTTTGCACCATCATATCGACTAAATCATGTACCAAATTAACATTCTTAATCTTTAGAGCCAATGCAGATTAACCTGCTATAAACAACCAACTTTTGAAAAATATAAGGAGGATAGTGTTGTTTTAGTATATGAAAATTCTGAATTTGTAATGTTAATAAAACTAATTCCAGTGGTAATTATATAAAATCCACCTCCAAAAATAGAAATAGAAGAATCTACTATTATATTTTCGATGATTATTAAATTAGAGATTATCATACCATTCCCATAGCTTGATTTAATAGGAAATATGAATTAAAAGTTAATTGGAGATATATCTTAAGTATTTGATAATATTGTATGTCTACTCAAAATTGTATAATTAATGATGTTATTATTTTTTCAATGATAATCCTTAACATATAGCTTTCCTGAGTCAATGTATAATATTGAATCAGTTGAGTTTGTTACTAAATTTTATTAAAATTAACAACCTTGTATAATTAAATTTCCATATTATCGAGATAGCAATAATGTAGTAGAAGAAATCGAAGACAAAGTTTAATAATATTAGTTTAGTGATTATAGGAAAAGTTTGTATTAATAAAGGTTATAAATCCTTCAAATTTTGATTCTAGTGAAATTAAAGCAGTTTTTTTATTAGTTTGTGAGATATTCGATCAAACCCTTTAAAATTATAAAGGGAGTATTGAATAATTTTCTACAAAATCTATAGAATACTTTTGAAAAAATTTCTTTGATCTTAAGA